GCAGTGCCGTGGAGCGAGTCTTCCATGTGGTGCGCAACGGCATACGCACTCTGAATCCCACGGCGCTGCAGTACCTCGATGCAGATGTGAATACCAATCATACGGACATACACTATATACACGTGTCCAGCACCAATGGCGCCTTCTACAAGTCGGGCCACTTTATAGACAGCTTCAGTCAGGATGACATTGCCAATAGGCGCATTATGTTCCAGCACAGCGGACCAGATGTGGGCACTGCCTCGTTCATAGTCACGGATCGAGAGCATGAGGTGAACGGCCAGCTGGAGATCCGCGCCTCGGATCCATTTGTATCCATGCTGCCAGCCAATGCCTCCATTGTGCAGGAGGGCAAATTTGTGATTCTGAAGAACAAGGATTTTGTGCTGGAAACCAATTTGGATATGAAGCTGGACGAGATCTACTACGAGGTCATCAAGCCGCCCTCCTACGGCCTCCTCATGTATCTGAGCGGACAGCGCGGTGAGAATGGCACAACTATGCACAAGGCCACGAATTTCACATCCCTGGGCAACTTCACACATTTGGATATTGAGCGCGAGCGCTTGGTCTATTGGAATACGGAAATCGCATCGATGGACAAAGTGAGGTAGGTTAAGGCTAACCAAATTGCAGATAATATATTTAAATGAGGCCTTTAATATCGCATCAGATATCGCGTACACATCAAGAACATTACAGCTGAGGGTGAGGTCATCTTTCGCATCTATCCCTCGGCCTACTGGGAGCCTTTGCAGGTGAAGCAGAATCATACGCTCTACGTGGAGGAGTCAACGAGCGTGTTGATCTCACGTGATGTGCTAGAGGTAATGGCTAATGCCTATATCGTAACTCTATGCTAGTTCTAATCCCAAATGCTCGTTCTACAGGTCGTACATCCCAACATTTCGCCAGGTGACATTACCTTTCTGGTAACCTCGTCGCCCATGCATGGCTATTTGGAAATGCAGTCGATGTCCTTTGACGATGAGTACAACTGCAAGGTCTTCGATCAGTCGTCGGTCAACACGGAAAAGATGTTCTACATACAGGCGGGCGTTAATCAATCATCCGATTACTTTGTATTCGATGTGACCAACGGCATCACCTGGTTGCGTCAGCTGATGCTCAAAATAGTCATCATACCCGAGAAGCTGTACATGCACACGAACATCATCTCCGTGGTGGAGGGGAAAACGGTGCAGATCGGCGCCACGGATATACAGCCCTATTCGGAGTACTATCGCGGCAAGATCTTGGAGTATATAGTCACCATAACGCCCACTTCAGGTCACATATTGGCTGGTAGTTCAAAGGTCAAGCGCTTCACGCAAAAACAACTCGAACAGGGCAGCATACAGTATGTGCACAATGGCAGTGAGAACAGCACAGATTGCCTTACGATGGTAGCCGTGGCCAGAAACAAGGAGAGCGTGCCCTTCGAGCTGGAGCTAGCTGTGGTGCCGGTCAACGATGAGGAGCCGATGATGGTCACCAACACGGGACTTCAGGTGTGGAACGGAGGACGCTATGTCATCAAGAATACAGATTTGTGTAAGTTCTTGGAGCTGAGGCCACTCACCTCGAATGCATAAATATTTAATATTCAAATCCCTTTCTGTAGTGGCCCAGGATTACGATACACCACCGGAGAATCTCACCTACATTGTGCATCACATTTACGGCGGATACCTGGCTGAGAAATCCTCCACTCAGCATAAGATCGAACAGTTCACGCAGGCACAGCTCAATGCGGAAAAGATCTATTTCATTCACGATGCCAACTCCCGAAGGAACGAGCTCTCCTTCCTGGTCACTGATGGACTATTCAATACTAGCACCCAGTTGCTGAACATAGAGATAAAGCCGATTGAGATTCTGGTGGAGCGCAATGAGAATTTGCATGTGTTTCCACTCACCAAGAAGCAAATCTTGCGCGACCATTTGCACTTCAAGTGCTCGGACGAGGAGCGGGAGATACGCTATAATGTGACAGTCCCGCCAAGTCTGGGACGCATCGTCAATGAGTATCTGGGCAATGGCTATGCCAAGGAGATAAGCGAGTTCACGCAGAACGATGTGGACAACGGACACATTTTCTATGAGCACACGGCAGTTATTTTGGAGTTCCGCATCAATGATTCCTTCTACTTTGACGTCGTGGCCGAGCGCAGCGATCGCTTGTTGGATCAGAAGTTCAACATAGAAATATCCGTATCCTCAGGTGGCTTACTTCGATTTTTGCCTGTGTCTAAGCTGACGGTGGATGAGGGCGGTTCGGTGCCCATTAAACTAGATTTCTCTAAGATCTTGGAGTATCTAAAAACTCGTGCGGGCATCAACAATCCGGAACTGTTCATAGAGGCCGCACAGAAGCCATCGCATGGTAGCATCGGACTGGGCCATGACTTTAGGGCCATGCAACGCTATCATCCAAGCGATTTCTTTACCAAGAAAGTTTACTATATACACGATCACACGGACACCCTGGAGGACACCATACTGATGGGCGTGTATCTGACGCAAGGGTAAGGCATGAGTTTCGAAATCTGAAGAATCGAAATCTAAATTTGCTACCAATTTCCATTGCAGCAACATCTTCTTGTGCAACTTGACCATACCCGTATCTATAAATCCCATCAATGACCAGCCTTTCCAGCTGGTCACGCATCTGCCCCAAATGGAGGTCGTTGAGGGCGAGAATCGCACCATAACACGCAATGTGCTGCTCACCGAGGATAAGGATACGCCGCCCGAGGAGATCATCTACGATGTGATGAGCGGTCCCACTTTGGGCGTGCTCAAGAAGCTGAACAATGATGGCCAGGCCGAGGATCTGCTCGCGTTTTCCAATCAATTCACCCAGGCGGACATCAACAATGATCGCATCATTTATGTCCACTTTGGCATGCCGCAGTCCACGACCTTTTGCTTCACCGTGACCGATGGCCAGTTCAATCCTGCTTATGAGATCTTTACCATCAAAGTGGCGCCCATAAGTCTGCTGCCAGCGAACACGCAGCTGCCGGTGAGCCTGCAGCAGGGCGCCACCAGTGCGGCCATGAAGCTGGAGCAGATTGGCCTGAGCACCAATGTGAAGCTGGACCGACTGGCCTATAATATAACCAATTCCCCGCTCTACGGCATCATTTTGTATAAGCATCAGCCAACGCTAAGATTCAACCAGCAGCAGCTGGAGTTATCACAGATTAGCTATATGCAAACGGATCTGAATCGCTCCAACGACACGTTCCAGGTGAGCGCCTATGTGCCCGGCAGCAACTATGCCGCGCAGGTGGATGTGGTTGTTAATGTGGAGCCGGTTATTAAGATCAATGACATAGCCATGCGCGAGGCGGTGTCCAGTTCGAGTGCAGCGGGTGGCAAGATCAGGCTCAGCAGCTACTTGGTCAACGATAATCCGCTCTCGCTGAAGCTGAACAAATTCAATCCCAAGTTCGTTATCACACGCATGCCCGCAACGGGTCAGCTGAGGAAGATCATACGCAGCACCAGCCTGAGTCAGGCGGGACTCAATGGAGCAGCCGATGGGCAGAATGAACGCTCCACCACCATCTTCTCATACAAGGAGCTGCGCAGCGGTGTTGTCTACTTTGTACCGCACGCATCGGTCGATGAGACGGAGGCGGATAGCGATAGCTTCGACTATCAGCTGCTCATCAAGACGGTGCAGCCGGCTCAGGCCACGGTAGCCATTGAGTATCGTGCCCAGCTACAAGAAACGGAGACAGTGCATCTGGGCAATGCAGATATATCCATTAACTATCTGGCTGTGGGCTGTGCCCTGTTCGTTCTGCTCATTTGCCTGCTGATTGTGCTGCTGTTGCTCAAGATGAGAAATATGCGAAAGCGAAAGGCCGATATATCCAAGGATCAGCCGCCACCATTGCCCTGTCCACCAGACCTGACGTCGGTCAGTCCGCAACATCATCATCATCACCACCATCATCATTATGCCAGCTCCGAGGCTGATTCGGTGCCGGCAACGGGCAATTCAACGCCTCTACCGGGCTTCAGCAATATACCCCACTGCAAGATTATACCAGTGGAGTCGTATAAGCACGAGTTTCCCGACTACGATCCGGATGAGGATGAAACAGACGATCAGTGCGATCCGCAGCAAATGATGTTGCCGCAACGCTACAATCCCTATCACATAGATCACGATACATGGAGTTCATCGTGCGACATGGCCAACGATTTTGCTGGCTATGCATCCGTGCCGCAGAGCATATCGATTTCAGGTTCGGTTAGTTCGCCGCCTTCTGCGCCGCCCACAAATCCGCTGCTGCGCCGAAATCAGTATTGGGTCTGAACGAAAAAAAAACAACAATAAGAGTTACGGCAAAGTAGTCTTAATCTATTTATTTAGCCATACATTTACGAGTATATTTAGGTACGTTTAAGGCTGATTTATGAGATTCGCACGTTTTAGTTAGTAAGCAAACGGACTTTGTTAGTTTTAATGAAGCATTTGATAGCATATACATATATAAATTTGCTAGTTACATATCTAAAAGTCAAGAAAATTCAACAGCCAATACAAATTTTGCCATATAATAGCCATGCATATGTATTCATGTAGGAGTTATACTCGTCAGCTGTAAGGGTTTGCCAACTTTCAATATTAATGTTAAGCATTTGTGTTGGAAAACGATTATAATTGCGAATTTTTTAAATAAATGACAATACTTTTAAGCTAATATACTGAACTAATTGTTTTGAATGCCATTTTCGGTTTCATTTTATTTTAACATATTTGCCAACACTTAAACGTACTCACCCAGCCACCACAAGTTGCTTACGCTGGCGCTCTATTATGTATATCGACTTACTAATCAGCCAGCCACCACAATCTAACACACACAAGAAAACTGTGATTGTGTTAGCTACTAACGCTTGCGCTCTATATTGTAAGTCGACTTGCCACCACATTTTATCGAAAATTTAAATTTTTTTAGTCGATTAATCGGTTTGTCAGAATTTACTCTTTAATATGATTTCATGTGTATATAAAGATGTATGTATTACTATGTATTTTCATTCAGCGGAATTCCATATCATTAGAAGTCACTTTGTTAATGCTTATGAAATAAAAAAATATCACTAGTTTCAATGTGATGCACACTGTTTCTCGTAATGCAATGTTGTCGGTGCTTAAAAGCCCGCCGTTGTGGACGTAGTGGCCGTTACGGCCTTCTCTGTAACGGGCGTTACGACCATCGCCTGATTATCATATCCATGTCCATAGCCGATTTCGGTCACCACAGTTGTTGGTGTTGTGCTATTCTCAGCCGGATACCGCGTGCTCACCGGCGTTGCCATAGTCAATACAGAGCCCTCGGCGGCGCCTAGTTATAAGAATAACAATTGACATATTCAATGCATCGGACAGGTAGTCAAATTTCGAATTTTACCTGCTACACTGTAGATTTGCGAAGGTGCCCGCTCAATGTCACGGTTGAACGCATTCGGATTCTGTATGGTCATGCCATTGAGCTCCTTCCCATTGCTCGGCTGAGCCTTGGACTGCAGCCGGTTCATGCAACGCTGCAGCGAACGCTTGACGCCCAACCAGCGCAGGAACTTAACCATATAATTGATGAAAACTAATATAAGGATGATGAACAACACAATGCGAATCTGATCCAGCTTGGGCAGCACACGGTTCTGTATATCAGCTACCAGAGGATCATAGCTTTTGTAGGCTGTAGATGAGATCAAGAAGGAAATCTATTAGAATCTGTGATGATGATGATATCAGTGTTATGAGTGTATATATTACTATTATTTCTATTTGTTTTACAGTATATAATTCTGGAGTGCAAATAGTTGTCTATAGATAACTTATCTAAGTGACGATGCAGATAGATAGCCAACATGGGGTAACTACAATTTATTTCCACATTTTCGCCTAAGATTTACTTGAAAACAAAATAAAAGCTGATCAAATAAAACGATTAAGCAAATACCTGTTAAATTGTGAATTCCATTATCATTATGTGCACAGTCAACCAATACAATGAGCTAATCAATTGTTAACAACTGACTACAATTAACTGTGAACTCTAGACGAGAGATGTCCGATGGAAAATCCATAGACTTAACGCTGGAGGCTTGCCAACTGCGTAATGCACTGTTCACGTTTTTAGTGCTGATCAGTCGAGAAGACGACTGACTGACTCTTAGACTGTGAGCCAAATGCAGTGGCTTTCAAACTGTTATACTTTATTGTTATGCCTTCAGCCATCGTTGATGATCTTCTCATTTGGCTTGCAAACTTATCAAGCTACCCAATCCACCTTCAACAATTGCTACAGTCATCCTTCATATATAAATAATTAACTGCCAAGCCAATATACCCCTATTCACACATATCTAAGCAGAGTATGAGAGCACCTATGCACACCTATGTAAGCTTTAATTATAGCCACACATTCTTGGCAAATCAGTTGCACAAATTAGATTTTTGCTTTAAGATGCAATGGAAACTTTTTGTTTGCTTGCAACTCACCTGAACACTCCTTGGCACAGGTGTCCGCATGGTAATTATGCGAGCTAACATCACAAATGTCGGCACACGGCATGCAGCTCTCGACGAACATGGAGCAATACTCGCTCACCGCGTGACAGAGCTTGCCGTGGCAATCCTGGCCAGAGCCAGCTGCACGTCCATTGGCGGCACTCACCAGCGAGAAGCTGGGCAGCAGCGAGGCTCCAATGGAGAGCGATAGTGGGCGCATTTCTCTGCCGGACATCAGATCACCTCTGGCGCTCTCTTTTAATTTCTTTGTTTTAAATTTGACTGTTGTTGTTGTTGTTGTTGTTGTGTTTTACATAACGTTTATATGCACCAAAGAAGCTGATTTATTTTAGGCACCGTTGCAGTTGTTACCTGTGCTATGATTCATAACTTTTTCGTTTGCCAGCTTCTTGGCAAAGCTTCTTTTTTGTGTTTTTTTTTTAATTGTTGACTTCGCGTTGAAAGCGACGTGCGTTGAGTCCAGTTTCAATTTGAGTGAAGTTTACGTGTGTGTGTGTGTGAGTGTTTGTGTGTGAGCCGCTTTATAAACTAGTTTCACTTAAGCAAACGGCTACCTTTCTTAACAATTTCTTGTCTTTTGATATTTTAATACACTTCAATCAGTTTTATTCACTTATTTGTTTTTAATTAAAAAAATAACAGTTTTTTTATCATCTTTCGGCCTTTTGAGTTATTATCTTTTGTCTGCCGCAAACGTTTTGCTTTGAGCCACATTCAACAGAAAACTGGCAACAGCAACGATCGCGCAGCCGAATGTTACCAAGCAGAGCTCGAAGCACACACTCACACGCGCTCACTCACACGCACACAAGCAGACAGACATGCGCCTTAACTGAAATTCGCTCTCTCTTTCTCTCGCTCTCATGCCCAGACGCAGTGCGCTCAAGCAATCGACTTGACTCTTGTTTACTTTACGGAATGTAGTTGTAAAGTGCAAATGTGTGTGTAAACAGGCAACTGATTTTCAACTATGCACATGCATAGCTATATATGTATGTATGTATATGATTTACAGGTATATATGCATTTGTGTGTGTTTTGTATTTTGTTTTGGGTTTGAGTCGCGCATTCTTTGAGCCGAGTTTAGCTAAAGAGCCCTAAGCAATTTCTAAAAATAGTTTGTGCGAATATTTAGCAAATATAAAAATGTTTTTATTTTGTTTATTTTATTTGCAATTGGCAATTTTTCTGCTCAAGCACAACGCACTGCAGAAACACGTTGACTCATGTCCATTTATATATTTTCTTAAAATTCGTTTTTATGAATGAACTTATCTGAGTGCTTACCCACTTTTATTAAACAAAATGCAAAGCAAAAGGAAATAAAGTTAATAAATATTAAGTGAATATATTTAGGGAAGTTATAACCACATAACATTGAGACTTGCTCATATGTACAAGCACTTGACGTCATGAGTCAACAAAAAAAAACAATATAACATTGCTCATTGTATTTGCGGTTGATTATTTATTTGTTATTAAATTGTGGTTATTGCCAAAGAAAACAAGTTTGAGTGTTTTTTGTAGAGTTTTAAAATACGGTGCGATTCTCGAGTAAAGGTGGGTGACTTGGCTATGTAGATAGCTATCTGAATGCGTTAAACATGTTTAAAAATATGTGTTTTTAAATAATGTACAAGTCAATTATAAAAATATCAACAATAAATTTTAAGCTTTTTATTTAATTAAAAAAAAAAGTTCATAAACATTGTTTTTATGACTTAATTTAAATTTTCATTTAAATTAAGCTGACAAATTGGCAGCACTGTTAACTCAAATTGGCAGCTGTTGCGCGCTCAACAATTGTAGCGCCTATCGATATATCTACAGTTGTAGACTACTTGAAAGTGTCCTAAATGGGCATAAATATTTTGGAACTAATTATATTATGATAATACTTTTTAACAGACCATTCAAGTAAATGATTTTATTATGCTGCCAATCCAAGTGTTATAGCGATGTGTATTGTTATTCTCACTTAACGTATTTTGAATACACAAAGTAACAGCAAGCTATCGACCTATCGATGTAGTCGGCACCAAGCCAGCCATCCCCATTGCCGCATTCGTTGAGCGGCTTTCGCTGTTGCATGAGCTGCGAGCGCGTTCATAATTTGCGGCAGAAGTGCGACGTGTTTGGCGAGCGAGACACAAAAATTGCAGCTGCTGCCCAAAGACGCGCGCGCGCTTTGTTTGTGCTGTGTTTTTGTGAGTGTATGTGTATTGGTGTGAAATTTATAAATAAATCGCGTGGCGTGAAAGTGAAATGCGTTGCAAGCAACATAACTAAACACAAGTGGATGCCACACAACATAAACGAGCGCAGTCAGAGCGACGCAATTAAGTGAAAAATTTCTAAAATTAAAAAAAAATCAAAGTCAGGTTTGCTTTTGCTTAATTGTTTATCTATTGAAAGCGACGCGCCGCCGCCGTCGCTGAACTGGAAGGGAAGGTGCGGCAGCATCAAACCGAAACCTGAAACTGAAATTGAGCGAAAGACAACAAGAACAACAACAACCACAGCAAAGACGACAACGACGCGTCCTTGAGCTCATAATTAAAACACCTGTTCAAGAGCAACAACTTCGGGAAGAGAATTTCACAAATATCAACAACAACAGCAAAGGAAGATGAACAATTTCACAACAACAACGGCCACAGTGCCTAAAAAGGACGCACTGCCTCGATCGGGACATGTTAATGAGGGTAAGAGCGAGACAACAACAACAACAGCAGCTCAGATTTTTGCTTGTTGGGCTTCTTTGCCTGCCTAAACAGAGATAGCATATCATTTGAAATGAATTGATGGATTGTTAGGATAGGAGTGTGGGAAGGGGAGAGGAATAGTGTTTTTAGCAGACCTGTTCTGAAACAACTATGAAACTATGTCAATTAGTTTAGGGTGAGTTTTAAATGTAGCGCTCTTTATCGTCGTATCGTATACGTTTCGCTGTAACAGGTAGTGCCTCATTGAGTCGCAGTTCTAATTGTGGTGTTAAATTGCTGTAATAAGTATAATAACACGTTTTCGAAAAGAAACAAAAAGAAGAGAAGAACAATAAGTAGGTCTTAAACCACTTCAGCTCAACTTAACACATAAAATATGACAAATAAAATAAAATGTTGAAATGTGTGAATTTCAGCAAATAATTACTATAAAATGTGTCATTTATAAATATAAATATATGTATGTATATGTATATATGTATGTGCATATTATTTTAAATTTTTTTTACATATAAAAGAATGAAAATTGTTATTTCTCGAAATTATATTTTTTCTTATGGCATTCTTCTAACGGAATCTATATTTTATTCCAATAAGAAATTTGATCTTTACTCTTGAATAGATTTGTCTGATCAGCAACTTCAGTTAACTAATGCTTAAACAGTTTGCGAATTATAAACGTTGCAAATGGTAGGTCTACAGTCAATCTACAGTTTAATATAAAATGCATCACAGCTTCTTTTTGCTGTTAATTAGATTTATTTGGTTAGCAAATTCAGTTAACAGTTTGGGAACTTAAAGAGTTTATTTTTAGACTCTTCAGGCTAACGAGTTGGCATAATAAAATATGGCATCTATTGACTCTGTGCTTAAGTTTTTCGTCTCTCTAAAATTGCACTTTTAACTTATTTGAACAACACAAAATTCAATTCACATCAATTTCGTTGCGCCGAATAAATGATGTTCCTCTATTATCGTAGATCAAGTCAAAGTGTTCTTCCGCATTCCCCATTAGTGAAAGACTGTGTGACTAAGACTAAGGCAAGCTCTGGTTTGCTCTCATATTAGAGTAGAAAACGTATCTTTTAGTGAGTACAATATTTCATTTAAAAATATGGCAAATCTGCATAATTATTTGTGGACTATATGGACTTTATAATAAATCAATCTGAAATCGGAAGGTGTGACTGGAATGCATGACTAGGCTCACCCTGCAGCATATTTATAAGAAATAAAAAAATCACAAAACTTATTTTCTTACTGTGTGAGTCACAAATGAACAAGACGATCTTAATTGCATTAGTAGGCAGCACGTTTATTGAACTGCGTGGCAAAATCTTATATAACAAACAAATTAGCATAAATTAAGACAAAGTTTGACTGGGATGGAATTATTTATAAGCAAGCAAAGCGCACAGAGGTGAAATAAAAATGAAACTTTATTAACTTAAAAAAAAGGGAAGAAAAGAAAGGTTACGACATCTGGGACAAAGAGATGGCAAAAGCTCGCTAGAGATTTTAGTCATAAGTTTATGTTATGCTAATCAAAGCAATTGTTGTTCGTATAACCAAACACCGAAGTGCCAAAGCCAACGAACTTTCTTTCGGTTTTATTTTCTCATCTTTCTCGAAGGGGCGCTCTGTGTGCAATTTAAGTTTTTGAAAGTTTTTTTCTTGTTCATGAAACGATAAACAAAAACAATGAGCTGCCAGTCAGCAGCGGCAGCAACTACAACAACAATAGCAATAACAACCGACAGACAAATTAAACATCAACTTCCAAAAACATAAAACGCAGAAATTTCTGTTGAAAATAAACAAATGCAGCATAACATAAAGAGGGCTGCCACTAAAGTTGGGTAACTAAGAAAAAACTAAGTTTTGTTATGCTTGAAAGTATTTTCCAGTCCACTTTGATATGTGATTCGAACTCACGTTCGGCTGGGTTCAAAGCAAACAAGAATCAGAAATTGAAACGGCAGCTGATCGCACTTAATGCTGCATAGCTGCACAACTTATGCCACAGCCCTCGTCTGCTTACAGCTCACACTATTTGGGGGCTGACTGAAAGCGAAAATCTACACTCAACCGGAGGTGCAAAAATTGTGCCTCAAGCGCTTTCCATTTAATGCAACGAGCACGATGGAAAAAACACCCCACTCTAAATGTATCTTTGTATCTTAAAGATACGCGCGTGCAGCAGGCAACAGCTGACAGTAGCTGCCCCTACCCCACTACCCCTGGAACTGCCCCTTGCCCGCTGGCAACTTCTTCGGGCAGCCGCTTCATTTGCGCCCAAGCACGCATAACAAAAGACAAAAGAGAGACCCCCACAATGTGTAGCCGCAGCTCCGAGTTGCAAGCATTGAGGCTGCCACTCAAATGCTGGCCTCTTTTTCCTTTTTCCATTTTGTTTCTTTTTGCCTGACAAACTGGCCGGCTGGGCAGGCAGGCAGGGGCAAGGAGTAGGAGCCAAGGAGCAGAATGAAACAGTCGACAGTTGCTTGACGAGATGCCGGAGCTGCCTCACTGACTGCAGCTTATGTGGCATGTTTTTGTTGTTTTTTCTACCTCTACTCTCTTCTTCTTTGCTACATGCCACGAATGATTCACTTGTCGGCGACAGGATGTGCAAGTGCCAGAAAGAGGTCTCCACTTGGCTTTAGCTTAGCGATGCCACCTCAAAGACTCACAATTCCCAAACTCCAGTTCCTGCAAGCTACATAATTGTTTTGGCACACAAAAGGTTCTTGAAAGGGTTTTTTGTTTTATGCGAGCTCAAAGACTAACTGAAAGTTTGCTTAAACTGTAAACTAAAGGCCGTAATCTCATGACATATTTAAGCGACTCCGTAGTCTAGATATTTATATTTATTAGATATTTATGATAGGTATTCTAACTGTCGTAATCCTTTGAATGTCCATAATCGTAGTTAAGTTTCAATCTAGTCAATGAGTGTAGATAGTATTCTCTTAAGTGCTTTTTATGGATTCTTTTGTTAGTTTCTGTCTGTATCATTAGACAGTTTGTTTTCTATATATTGTACTGCAAAAGAGTCATATTTTAACTGAGGACTTTCAATTTAGCCAATTCAACACTTAAGCTAAAGACTCTTAAGACCTATAAATAAATTGATTTCCCATATTTCAAAATGAATTCATGTTATTAAAATATATTAGCATTAGTGTCTCTGGGAAATATGAATAATATAATATATTTTATTATTTTTCTTATATCTTTACTTTCACTTATCTTTAATGAGATCATAAATAAAAATAAAAATATTGATTATATTTTTCAAGTATTTCACTTCTCTCATTCTATTCGAAACGTTGCATAAGCTGATCAGGTAGTCGGCGTCTATAAAAACCGGTATTCAAAAGATTATACAACTTTTCCATTTCGCAGATTAATAACTTTGTGCACAGATGCGTTACACATATAGAATTCTTACGAAATGGATATCTTTTAGATATATAAATATGCTTTTAAAATACAAATACATATATAGATATAGGTATAGACGATATCTTATCAGTATTTCGAGCTATAATGAAGTCGAACAGATTGAATCGTTCATCCATTCAATTTTGCTGTATTCGCCATTTTCTTATTATATTTATTGATTATATTATATAGGTCCTATATTATATATATCGGTAAAGTTAAGTATTTATTTTTGTTATTTTAATTTTTTATTTATTTATTTTTTTTTTGATAAGTTTCACAAACCCGTCTTATATACCCACAAGATATTGATTCACTCAAGAATAGAAATTAATCGTAATTGAAATAACTAAATTATTAGTATAGATCAAGTTTGTGACATGCTTTCAAGGCAAACTCTTTGCCCGGCTGCGCAAATGGGAAACTCTGTTGCTGCTCTTCCCTTCTTTGTCTGCTTTGTCTTCTACAGCTAGCAAGTTGCTCGCTTTAAGTAGCTTGACTCTTGACGTGACACACAATTGTGCTTTGCAAATGGAAAAGTCATATTTGTGTACTTCAATTTCGGAGAAAGTTACGTTAATGGGCTTTATCATTAGCTTTAGCTTCTGGTGTAGCGAATACTTCAGCCGAGCAAAGGCGTCAGCAGATATCAAATTACGCTAATTTGTTAAGCCAAATGCATAAGTTTTAACGATTGGCTGTTGGCGCGTGTTTGTGCAGAGCTCTCAGCGAATCGTTCAATCGATCAATCAATCAATCAATCAGCCCGCATTTAAATTGTTTTCAGCTGCATAATGAGCTAAATTCTTCCCACAGCTGCAGCAGCAGCTTCTTATTAACGGCTTTGGCCGTGGCTAAGGTCAATGCTTGGCAACACAATATACACACGCACACACACACACACATGAAAATATATATACACACACACACACATATGCTGCATCTTTAGCTCGTTTTCTGTGTGTATCCATCAGCTGCAACATTCAAATAGTCAACGTCGCATCTTGTCGGCGTCGCCGTTGCAGCCACATTTTTGTTTGTGGCAAGCGTCTCGCTGTTGCTGCCCCCGCCTATGCTGCCGCTTGACTCTGGCTAGTGGCATGTTCAACAACCTTGAGTCAGGTTTTTCCACTTTCAGCCGCTAATCAATGCAACAGCGTCGACAGCATTTTTCCTGCTTTGGCTGCTTTTGCCTCTCATAAATTTTCCTTCGACTTTCCAAATCGGTTTTCCACTCGATACCATAGTTTTTCATAGCTGGCATATGCATAAATTTTCGTTCAGGTTTTTTTCATTCCATTTTTACATATCCTCTTTCGTTGTGTAACGCTTCACGCGATCCACAGACCGAACCATTCAAGCATAGACCGCTATTTGAACTTGGCCAAAGAGAGAGCAAGTGAAAATGAATTAGATAGAATAGAGAGTAGGAGGGAGACACAGAGGGATGGGAAAAATCATTGAGGGAAGCCCCACAAACACAAGTGCCACAGAGAACCGCAATGCAAAGTGCTGTGAACTGAAAATGAATT